GGCGGCCCGGTCACATGGCCGGGAGCACAACTCCCAGCGACAGTGTTCCTGCCAAATCCAGTGTCTTTTCCACCAAATACACTTTCCGCTGGGGATGGCTTTCTGCTTTTCCTGGTCGGTCACCTCGTGGGACTGGGAGTTCCTCCAAGGCAGGAGTGGGGTGTGCCCGGCCCCAAGCTGGCCCCTGCCCCCCAGTGCGGGGCCTGGCACCAGCCTAGCGCTCAGGGAAGAAATGCTCATTAATAAAGGCGGCGTGAATGAATGAAACCAATTGTTGCACGAGGCGGGTGCTGCTCCTGCCTTTTCTCTCAGCGGGTTGCACACTGCCCGCCCCCCACGCACAAGCACACGTGCACACTTATTACTCCCTCCAACACACAGGCAGACACACACGCACTGCGTGAATTCCTGTCTTCGCGGAACCGACCTACTACGTGCACTGCGTCCCTATCAATGCCTGCCTCTCATTTCCTCCTCCCAGACCCCCACCGGCGCCCGCATATCTAAGCACGGTACCTTGCGCCCCCAGTGCCTTCTTTATCTCTTAGGGAAGAGGCCAAACCAGTCGCTGGGGAGACTCAAAGTCTGTTTAGGGAGGCACCTGGGGGCCCTCAGGATGGCAAGCCGCCTCCGAAGGCGAGTCAGAGGCGCTTAGCAGGGATGTCACCAAATGCTGCAGCCTCTAGAGCCCGCGTGCCAGGTGTTGGGGGTGGTGGTGGGAGGGACTGGGGATGTGCTGGGGGCTGTTGAGGGCTATTTGTGACGGGGCGGGGTGCTGGAGAGCGGGAATCCAGCAGGTGTGCATACGTGTTGGGGTCTGTGTGTGTGCTGGGGAGTGGGCCTGGCTGAGGGAAGTGGGGAGTGTCAGCCCCTGGGGTGTGGGTTAGTGTTGGGGCTTCGCTTGGGGTAGGTGGATTGCAGTGTCTCTGGGCTGGGAATGTGGGTGGGGTGTCTGTAATGAGCATATGGGGAGTCGGAGATGGTGGGGGCACGGCGAGGGGAGCTGTGTTAGTGCAGAGAGCAGGGATGTGTGGGGAATATGTATGTGCCTGGGTGTGTACTGAGGCGTGGCAGGGTCTGGGATGGGTGCTGGCCTGAGTTGGGGACAGTGCTGGGTGGTAGGTTAGGGGCTGCTGTTTGCACTGCAGGGACCTGGGTCCGCGTGCGCATAAGTGGCAGGGGGTGTGCGTGGCTGAGG